AAAACATTACTTATTGAATGTTGAGAATAAATTATTGTACTGGATGGTCGGGAAATATTGCTGTAATGAATGGTGAGAAAACATTACTGTATTGAATGTTGAGAATACATTACTTATTGAATGTTGAGAATACATTATTGTATTGAATGGTGAGAATACATTACTGTATTGAATGGTGAGAAAACATTACTATATTGAATGGTGAGAAAACATTACTGTATTGAATGGTGGGAATGCATTACTGTATTGAATGGTGGGAATACATTACTGTATTGAATGTTGAGAATACATTATTGTATTGAATGGTGAGAATACATTACTGTATTGAATGGTGAGAAAACATTACTATATTGAATGGTGAGAAAACATTACTGTATTGAATGGTGGGAATGCATTACTGTATTGAATGGTGGGAATACATTACTGTATTGAATGGTAAGAATACATTACTGTATTGAATGGTGAGAATACAATACTTATTGAATGTTGAGAATACATTATTGTACTGAATGGTCGGGAAATATAACTGTAATGAATGGTGATAATACATTACTGTAATGAATAGTGAGAAAACATTACTGTATTGAATGTTGAGAATACATTACTTATTGAATGTTGAGAATACATTACTTATTGAATAGAGAGAATACATTACTGTATTGAATGGTGAGAATACATTACTGTATTGATTGAATGGTGAGAATACATTATTGTATTGAATGGTGAGAAAACATTACTGTATTGAATGGTGGTAAAACATTACTTATTGAATGTTGAGAATACATTATTGTATTGAATGGTCGGGAAATATTGCTGTATTGAATGGTGATAATACATTACTGTATTGAATTGTGGGAATACATTACTGTATTGAATGGTGGGAATGCATTACTGTATTGAATGGTGGGAATGCATTACTGTATTCAAAGGTGATAATACATTACTGCATTGAATGGTGGGAACATCATTACTGTATTGAATGTAGGGAATGGTAAGAAATCTTTGAAATCAAGAGGGGAAACTTTTCACATACACAAATGTCATTTGTATATCCTTGTATGTTTGATAACACATTTTGACGAAGTCGTTGACTTTCAAATACAAATAGTACAAAAAAAAGTTGATTTTCTTATCTGTGTCATGGGAGATTGTGCCCTGGAATTGTTTTCAATAACTACTTATCAGATCTGGTGAGCAACATTTTTCTGACTGTACTCACTGTTTATCTATTCGGTCTGCGCACTTTCGCATACTTTCAGTCTTCTAGCAATACATGGATGATAGCTTCATCTTCAGGGGTTATCTAATACATACATACATTTCCATTATGATTGTTATTGCACAATTTGAACTACATCACACATAAGGCCAAAAAAAAAATTGTTTTGTTGCCCTCAGTGGCCGACCAAAAAATATGGAATATCGGGTCGCGTTTTTTTTTTTTTTTTTTTTTTTTTTAAATAGGCCCAAATTTTAAAAACGCACCATTTTAAGCAGTAAAAAAGTGTTTTCTTTAAAAATTAACGATCCTGGACCATTGTTTGATTCCCAGGGTCCCCGAGGGGATAAGTGGTGACTTAGAACCTCGGGTTGATCTGTATTTCTCTGAAAAAAAAAATCTAACCGACCGACTAAATTTTTCAATTTTCCGACTTAAGGGCAACATAAGTTTGTTTGTTTTTTGGCCTAATATGGAATATATCCGATGATTGACATTGATCCAAAGATAGGTTGACATATTTATAAATTATCAATTTTTCTGCAATTTGATATCGAAAAGAGCATTCGAAAAGAGTTATTAAAAGTCAGGCATGGAACGAGTACATAGATAGGTAATTGTAGGTTACCTGTATATTCTACTAGCTATGTCAGAATTACATCGTGAAGTTTTTTTTTTTTTCAGACCATAGTTTATGCACAGATAGATGGACTGTGGTTTAGGCCAGTAAAATGTTTAATTTATCAAAAGCTTGGATAAACAACACAGATACTAGTATTGATGAGAAATTAGATCGACTTAATGATCCTGATTTTTCTATATTCATACTATAATTGCTTGAAAACATATTTGTTTGTTGGTGACATTTTTTTAATTGAACATGATTTTTTTTTATTTAATTGCAAATTTGACTTTTGTTGTAGCAATAGACTAATTATTCTTTTTAAAATAATTCCAATTCCATGTTTAAGAACCAGTTCATCCAATTCAGCATTGACCATTTGAACGCAAAACTTGTTGATACCTTGCATGCAATCCTTTTGTTGGTTATTGATATCTCTTTAATGTGTGCGAGTAGGGGTGGTGTCTAATAGCAATTTGTATGATGTAACATGTTTTAGTTACCTTAGAGGGTGACTATTAGAAACTAAGGAAGGGTGATTATTTAAGTTTAATCTAGAGTTTGTATTGGTCAACTTCTCATATTATTAAAATGTTCATGTTTTATCCGATATGGATTCATTATTGATTCGTTCCCATTAAATTGTTCAGACCAAATTCCAGCGATATCACAGACTACTTTCAACACATGAACAAATTTCACCACTGTAAACAGGTTCAGAATGTTTTTGACACAAACGATTGTTTCCTTTGAAATAAATTTGAATACTTTGAATTTTTATTCAGGTTTTGTCACAGACTTGAATGAACATTTCACTCATCAAAATAATCTGAAAGATCAATAATTTGTAGTGTATTTTTCTATTGTTGCAAACATTCTCTTGCAATTGTGCCAAACTTTCAAGTGAAAAACGAAATGAAGTCAAATTTTATTGGAAATAATAAATATTTTATTCATCAAACTTTTAGTTGGTAGATAGTTTACACAAAATAAACATATCTGTTAAAGTACAGATGACATGGTTAACAGTAAAAACATAGTCGACTAGTTTTGCAATATGTATATGTACGAATGTGTACTACAATACTATGTAAATTACTGTACCTAGTTTGTCAAACACAGTCATTCCACCAGAGACAGTAAAATCTAATGCCAATACAGTCTGGCTTTCATTCAGTCTGTCATACATACAAATGCATCCATACATCGATGAAATCCACTTCACTCATCTTTTACCCATTTTTCATGCTTGCATCACACATTATCATTGTGTATTTTCTGCACCACAATTGGGATCTAATTGACTGGCCATGAGGAAAGGATCATAAAAGTTAGATTGCAATATTTGTGCATTCCAGAGTAAGGGTAAGGCAATAAACACACACAACCTGAAAATGAACACTCGGTGATGCAAAAGCAACCAGAATGTGATAAATGCATTATCCTAACCCAAAAATAATGGCAGGATGCCTGAAAACCATACTATTGACACACCCCAAGCTGTATTTTGAAATAATTACATCATTTAATCTCATATTTTTGATACATTCAAATGATTTTTACTGAAAATCTGTCTACATATATACCATGTATATTTCACTCAGTCTTAAGACGGCTCATCAAGCTCATCATGTGTACACTTAGAAACAGGAGCACAAGAAAAAAATAAAAATCTCAATATTTTTTGAAAAATGATATATATATATATATATATATATATTAATTGCAGTCATTAAAATGGCTCGCTATACAAACCAGATTTATAATTTAGAAAAGGCACTTTACAATCATGTAAATAAAAATACTGACCAACCAAGACTACCATATCGCATTCATAGCAGTGGCAATAGTCTGTGGTTTGAGTCAATAATTATATTTCAAAGGACAATTTTTCTCTAAAAGAAGTAATTATTTATATCTTGTAATACAATATTTTTTTTATATTTGGGTTAATATTCATATCTCAAATGGTACATTACAATATATGTCTACTATTTGAACTCAAGATGTGGTCAACATTTATATGTCACAATGAAGTCTCTAGATGAGGTCAATATTTATATGTCACAAAGAAGTCTTCTCTAGATTAGGTCAATATTAATGTCACATTGAAGTCTTTTCTAGATTAGGTCAATATTAATATGTCACACTGAAGTCTTCTCTAGATAAGGTCAATATGTATATGTCACACTGAAGTCTTTTCTAAATTAGATCAATATTTATATGTCACACTGAAGTATTTTCTAGATTAGATCAATATTTATATGTCACACTGAAGTCTTCTCTAGATTAGGTCAATATTTATATGTCACATTGAAGTCTTCTCTAGATTAGGTCAATATGTATATGTCACACTGAAGTCTTCTCTAAGGTCAATATTTATATGTCACACTGAAGTCTTCTCTAGATTAGGTCAATATTTATATGTCACACTGAAGTCTTTTCTAAATTAGATCAATATTTATATGTCACACTGAAGTCTTTTCTAAATTAGATCAATATTTATATGTCACATTGAAGTCTTCTCTAGATAAGGTCAATATTTATATGTCACATTGAAGTCTTCTTTGGATTTGGTCAATATTTATATGTCATAAATAAGCCAGGGTCTCTTATGTCAATATTCTATAAGTGCTGTCAAAGTATTTTGATTTACAATAATTATATCGTTCATTGCAGAAAATAGATATAGTGGATGACACAAAAACTAAAACGAAGATAGAATGCTATGGTAACCACAATATCAATTACAACTAGATTGCTATGACAACCACAATATCAATTACAACTAGATTGCTATGACAACCACAATATTAGTTACGACTAGATTGCTATGGCAACCACAATATCAATTACAACTAGAATGCTATGACAACCACAACATCAATTACGTCTGGAATGCTTTAAAACTGAACTGGGAATCACAAATAATCAAATTTACAAAACTTTGATTCTATATTAGAAAGGCTATGTTTTAATTAACAAAAATAAGAGAAATGACATTGACTGAAACCTGCTAAAATATCAGCTTTTCCATACAAATTCACTGAAGCTGTATATGTACAGAAGAGAATAAGCAGGTCTTTATTTTAAATGTTATTGATTGTTACCGGTACTGTTCATTTTAACAGATTCGTTTATATGCTCTTCTTTTGGTCATTATGCATTGATGATTTTCTTTGCCACGGCAACATTGATAGCAGCTTGGTAACCAAGGTCTGGTCTGCGATCATTGACATTTACCATATCGGGAACTGATGAAC